GGTTTCCAGAGCACGGTATTATTTTAATACTGTTACACAAGTACTGGTAACAATGCATTTCATTAATAACCTTGTCAGTTTAATTAAAAAAATAATTCCTAAGAAAATTTTAACAGCTTACTCGAATGCCCAGCACGTGCTTCCTCCTCCCTCCACATACGCCCGCGGTTTATAAGGATTCGGACTTCCCGAATATTTATCTTGCATTTCATTACAGCGAGATTCTTTTCCAGTATATAATTTCTACTAAGTTCACCTGTGCTCTCTGCACTTACTGATATAATATGTATTCCGTATGTGCACATAGTTTTTTAAAAACTGGTAACGCCGGAGGTTTATATATAAGTATTTTCATCTGGTCCTCAAAAAGCATCATTTCATATACAGAAACTAGAAAATAAACCCAGCACAAACTAGATGTACCAAGTAGTACGTAATAAAATAATTACCACAGTAATTGAAAATTCCTGATCTTGGTCCTACAATAATCAGTTAGAGGCTACTCCACAGCCTCTGGGATTTCTCTGTCATCCACAATAAGGGTATGAATAATTCCTTCCTTTCGTTTCCCACTACTGACGGCCTTAATGCAGCAGCTGTGATTGCCGACGGTGAAGTGAGTTTCAGTCCCATCTTCTACAAATTCACCCTGGGAGAAAGGAGACAAGAATAAAACCAGACAGGTGCTATTTTGGTAAAATAAAAGCTGGAGCGCATCAGACTGTTTCTGAGGGCGAGATCGGTCAGAGCAGCCCTAGGTACCTGCCACAACGAAGCCGCAGAACCTCAGGCACGGCTTTGTGGAGGCATCCGGTGAAAGACTGGCGGGTGTCAAGACAACAAGCAACGTTTCACGTGATCAGAAACGGTAAAGTTGGAGGTTGTGAATTAATACTGCTGATCCATGGCAGTAAAACAGAAACAAACAGGGATTTCCTGCCGAGGTGTGCAGTCCAGCCAGTAAGCCCCGCGCAAACCGCGGCTGAAGGGGCAGTGGCACGTGGAGTGCATAGCAGCACCCTCTACAGTGGGGCGAAGAGACCCCTGAACGGAGCTAACAGCTGCGTGTTTTGGATACGCGGTGCTGCTGCAGTTACGTCACCTCCGGTTACGGACTTTGCCACCCGTGGCTGCGTTTCTGTCATCATCTTTGGGACAGCAGGAAAATCGGCGTGCCGCTCTAATGCCCGCGCGGTTTGACCACTAAACCTGCACTCACAGCTTGCACGAGTATCTCCTAGTGCGTGCACCACGTTACGGAAAAGGCCGAGACCCACAGAGAGCAGAAATTCCGACTCCCTGAGGAGGACATTCCTTCCACTGATTACTGAAGAAACACTTGATAACAGGATGAAAAGATCCACCAAGTATAGCAAAAGCGCTGGATTTTCCAATTTGTACTCATCCAGGGTATGGATGGAAGGTATTCCAATTTGTACTCATCCAGGGGATTACCGGTGGCAGTAGGAATCATAGTGACAACGCTGGTAGAGCACAGCCCCTGAGGGGGTGGAAGCCTATAGTGGTGTGTGTATTCAAAGCCATCACAATGTAACAGGACAGATTAGGCCTTCCAGCTGTCAGGCTGCTCTAAAAATTCACAGGGATGTGACAGGAAGGCAAGAGATGTGATTTGTTCCCATGCGGCTCTTGAGCCCAAAGTACCAGGGACCACCTCTAGATGGAAAAGAATGGTGAGTTGTAACAGACTACACGTGTTCAACTTCCAGTCACCACTAACGTGAGCAGGGTTGGATGAAGAGGCTGTACACTCCCTCCCACTCCCCTGACAGTTTTCTCCCTAAAAGTCCCAGATTTAGTCTGCTTGCCTAAACCCTGGAAACAAAAGCATGCATTATCCTTAAATAGATGTTTGGCATCCTAACCGTTAAGTCAGGATATGAAATGCTGTCAGGTACAAATCTGGCGAGGGACACGGGGGACAGACCAACAGCATGCTGGCTGTCCGGGCGCACGCTCCTACGCTGCGGCAGTGAGGTCACGTGCCCCTCTCTGCCTTATTTTGCTAAGCTGTGGCCGTTCAGCCTGTGAATGGCCTTCGGAAACGATCACGTACCGCTGTTTCCATCTTCTGACCGTTGCACCACACATCCATAGTGTCCTTTTCTGCAAAGGAAAAAGAAAACAAAAAGCAGAAAGAACAAGATGTTCTTTTTTATTTTTTCCTCCCCTACAGACTCACGTGCCCCTCTCTGCCTTATTTTGCTAAGCTGTGGCCGTTCAGCCTGTGAATGGCCTTCGGAAACGATCACGTACCGCTGTTTCCATCTTCTGACCGTTGCACCACACATCCATAGTGTCCTTTTCTGCAAAGGAAAAAGAAAACAAAAAGCAGAAAGAACAAGATGTTCTTTTTTATTTTTTCCTCCCCTACAGACAGGA